CACAACGCCATGATGTTTTCGTCCAATTCAACCCTTGAGCCCTCATCTACCGGAGTTGAGGAAGGGTATTGCTTCCTCAATCGACGCCGTTTGTGGCCAGGCACGGCCGACGGCGACGGCCGGGGTGATGGAGTGTGGCCGGGGTTACGGTCTGAGGCCGATTGGCCGACTTGGCGAGAATTGGGCGATGGGGTAGCCGAATCGGAATCCGAGACAATCATGGCGGCGAGAGAAGGAACTGACCTGGACAGGAAGAAGAACGAGTCGGGTGAGCAGCGGAGTTGCAGACGCACGGTAGTGAAGAAGGCGAAAGGAAGAGATGGCGTCCAGCGGCGGTTTTTAACTGACAACAGGAAGGCGAATCGGCAGGCCATGATTACTTATTTGTGGAGATCGTGCCCAAGTGTCGTGCGGAACCCAAGGAACGGCCCGGATCCCCGCTAGAGCGTCCACGTGGACTTTGCAAACTCCCCACTCCTCCGCTTGGCCCAGCTGAGGACTGAGGAGTTGGGGGGCTTATGATGGGCCGATATCCAGAGGACGGCCCAAATGAACCATCTAAACAGCTTCGGGTCAAGCACCTGTAGATACTCAAGCTGGGCCGGCCCAAGGAGCTGGGCCTAGTTAACCTCAGGCCAAGCGCAGCTGGCAGAGTCAGTATGGAGAAGGAGACGGAGCTGATTGGCCGTTACGGAGCCGGAAAAAGGGGATCGCGCCCTTGGACGGGCTAAACTCCATCAGTTACGCTTCACCTTAATTGTTGAGAGCTCGTGTATAAATAGAAGGGACCCGAAAGGGGAGAACTCAAGCTAAATCAAGCTAGTAATACACATCCAATTCTCGAATTCTTGTTCTTAATTTTGTTCTTGCGATCCGCTCTGTAAATCGGATCATTTGGTGGATTTATTGTCCATCAGAAACAAAGTCAGATATTATAGATTAATGAATCAAGAAGCTGATTGGTTGCTCAAACCCTCGTGAGAAAACTAATTATGCAAACTCATCATACAGGGAAATAAATTAAAAGTTATAAACCAGATTTGAGAATACAAGCTGGTAGGGGTTGTATCCTAAGCACTGGAATTGAATCGAGGGTAACCAAAAAAATAGCTGAAATAGTGGCAGACGAAGCACTGGAAAGAGGTTGTATCCCTCAGCACTGGTCATCGGATGGAGTGGCGGTCGGATCTGGTGTATGCCGGAATCACAAGGTCAGCGG